AATTTCAGCCACACAAATTGCCATGCATTTGTGCAGTATGCACATATTTTAATTGTCAGTTATTGTGCTTTTTATTTTCTTGATTTATCCATTATTTGAAAAGAAAAGAACTTCACAAGCCCAACACGAGGTGCTGGAATTCCTTTGCCTGAACAAGTTCAATCCAAATCATAAAGATATTTGGTTCGTTCTCACATAACAAAAGCAGCAAATTCTTAAAAATAATAAAGCTGAAATCACTATCTGTTATTATTATTATTATTAGCGGATTATCTGTCCGTTAACTTGATAAGCTGATTGATTGTATAAGTGACAATAAAACTAAGTCTATTTGTTGGGCTGTATATATATTTGACTTGTGTTTCATTAGACCATCCCAATCAATTTAAAACATGTTCTATTTAAAGGTCCCCTATTATACTGTTTTTCATCAATATATGATAGGTCTCAGATATATGCCAAACATGTCTCTGACGTGCTCCAAATACCAAACAGATCATTGTAGCATCCCATAATCCCCTCTGTTTCAGTCCTGTTTCAAAAGTGCTGATTCTGTGTCTGTTACTTTAGATAAAAATAAGGAGCCACTCCCCACGCCCCTCTGAGAGATATTTGGTTAAAAAGACCACAATGGTGCTCTAGGAGGAGATTCAGGTGATAATGGACAAACAAATCTTTCTTCCTGAAACTTTCAGAATCTCTTTACACGTAGGGGACACATGTTTGTGTATAAAAGACAAGAACAAGTGTATTTTGCATAGTAGGCGATCTTTAAATCATATCGCGTTTCAGTGTCTCTGAGATTGAGGTAGCTCCAGTGGTGAGGCATCAGGAAAGCTGATATGAGGATGATATAAAATGAATGGCTCTTTGTGTGGATGCCAGGCCACTGAGATACTATTAAACCATGGGTGACATTTAAAACATGATTTAATCTGCAGCTGTGTGAGTGCCAGTTTAAACTGATGTAACATGATGCTCTTTCATTAACCTTGTCAAAACCCTTGTTGCTGTAGCTGACTTGATTGGATTGAATTGTCTCTTTTTCTCTGGGTACTTACAAGCAAAGCCTTTGACTTATCTACTGGTGGTATCTCTGCCCTATTTTTTCTTTGTCAACTTGAGAGATAAAATCTTGCAAGGTTAAAAAACTCCCGTGAGTTGCACGACAAGCCTCATGAGAAATATGAAATGATAGGTCTCGCGGTCAGCTCAGCATCCGGCAGCAGTAATTGGGTTTTTATCAAACTGCAGCAGTCTGCATGACCTTTTCACAAATAGTGCTCGCTGTAATTGACTATTTGTTGCAGACCTCATCTCTCATTGCGAGTATATATTACAATTTGCATGGTTATATTGGCTATTCGTTGTTAGTATTGTTTTTTCCTAATTAATTTGTTATTTCTGCTTATAGACATGTCTTGCTATACATACATACAAAATATATACTGGATAGCTTTAATCAGCTGTAACTGGTCACATACTATTACATTGTCATCTGGCTCAACTGGCACAAACGTCTGAAAAAAAGAAAACTTTGAGAGAACTGCTGTGGGAGGCATTTTGTGCAGCCAGAATCCTATCAGGTTGAATTTAGAAAATGCTGCTCTGCAGTTCTTCATCCTCAGTGGCCGCTAAGCAAAGCTAAACAAAGCTAAGCTAAGCTAGCTATGCACAAAAAAAATGTCCCTCCCAGGAGCACGAGAGAAATCGCCGTGGCCAAATTAATTTTCTCCCTTCTGCTTGTGCTGGCAACCTGAGGGATCAGTGAGGCAGAGAACCAGCCAACGAGAGGAGACACGGTGCTGGAGGAGAGAGGGAAAGGGAGCAGAGGAATTTCAATGTGGCTGTGTCTGTCTCTCCCTGCCAAAGAAAAAGCAATTACTACCACAGCTCCTCTCTCACTGCTCTGTGTGTGTGCTTACCTGTGAGTGTTTCCGACTGCTCTTTAGCACATAAGGATTTGGTATGTTACACGCATAAAGGGAAGATTGGCTTGTACTCTGCAGGGTGTTTGAGAAATCTGACACTGAAGATGTCTGTTTCCGCCGTGTAACTTAGCCTTCAAATCAGCTGAAGCTTTGCTAAGACTTCATAAAACATCCTGTCCAAAACACACATATCTATGTTCACTGTGCTTTTAATGGTGACAAACGCCAACTTAAACATTACAAATATGCATGTAGATTTACTGCTTTTTATCTGGAGTGAAACAGAAATTCAGCAAGTGCTCATTTTGACAGCCAAAAGATAAGAGACAGACAGACATACAAACAGATATACAGACAGAAAGACAGACAGACAGACAGACAGACAGACAGACAGACAGACAGACAGACAGACAGACAGACAGACAGACAGACAGACAGACAGACAGATATACAGACAGACAGACAGACAGACAGACAGACAGACAGACAGACAGACAGACAGACAGACAGACAGACATACAGATATACAGACAGACAGGGATGCAGACAGACAGACAGACAGGGATGCA